CTGAATTAAAACAAAACTTGAATTTTTTGGTAACAGCAAAATAAGGAAGAAAAATAACATGAAAAATGCTATAAAGGCATTTGATAACACTTAAAAACCTTTCCTAATAAAATTTCTAATAAGTTAGGAATGAAAGGAAGCTATTAAATAATGATAAAGACATTTACCGCAATTTTAGAGCAAATACCACATAAATGGCATATTTCTGAAGCCATTTCCTTAAAAATCATGTAGGAAAGAGATGTTAACTCTTAACAGTGGGACTCAGTATTTTTAGAAGTTCTCTCTCAAGCAAGAGATCAAGATATGAAAGAATTTTATAACATTAGAAAAGTATAATTTTTGTGTAGTGGTCTCAAAACCCATGAGCATCTGGTAAAAAATTATTAGAATTATGAAGAATGTGTATAAACTGATTGTAAAAACATTTACAAACTGATAGGTTTTTCTCTACTAGTAATAGAAACAGAAAAGGTAAAATATACCACTTATAATACGCAATACTTTATACTTAACAAAATGTAACGAGCCCAAGTAAAAATCATGGGATCTTACCGAAGGACACAAAACAAGATAAAAATACACAGCAGGCCACGCCAAGTTCCTGACTAGGAAGATTTACTGTCATAGGAATACGAATCCTTCCTGAATTGATATTTAAAGTTAATGCAGTTCTTTTTTTTTTTTTGGAGAGGTTTTTGCTGTAGGGTGTGCACGCTTGCCAGAGAGACAGAGACAGAGAGACAGAATGTGAGAAATCACCCCTGGGGTGGGGGGATAAGGGGCTATGCCGCAATCGCTTCTCTTCCATTCTCCTCTTGTGATCTTGGGCACGCACGCACACCAGGTGTGGGACTTGAACCACTGTTGACTACATGGGAGTTCAGCGACATAGCCATTATGCCAACTGATAGTTATTTATTTATTTATTTATTTTTGAGAGAAAAGTTAATGCAGTTTTAATCAGAATTCCAATAGGGTTTCTCTGGAACTGATCAGAATAATTAAAAAGCTCTCAATAGGGAGTAACATTTACGTTAAGGCCACTTCAATAAAAAATAATGGTGCTAAGGGAGTAATGGACAAATAGTTTAGTGAAATAGAATGGAGGGTCCAGGAATGGCCCAAAGTCTACAGAAGAAATTAGTATATGAAAAAGGTAGAAATTTGATTCATTGAGAAAAGTGATAGTGAATTATGACAGTTTATTTAATGAAAGATTCTAATGTAACGAAATGTTCATCTAAAGGTAAACAAAGCTAGAGCCTGCCTCACATCATAAACAAAATTAAGTTCAGATGGATTTAAGGATATTTATATGGCCTGGAGTAGGAGATACCTTCTCTACAAAACACAAAATACAAAAGATACACAGAAAAAGATAATTAAATTACATGATAATTAAAGCATTTTTCTGGAAAGACACTATAAGGAAAGCTTAAAGGCAAATATTAGGTTGGGAAAACATATGACAGATACAGGACTATTAACAACAATTACCTCAGGGAGTAAACCAATGAGAAAATATGATATAATTTTACAATTTGGGAAAAAGAATCAAATTTATTTTTAATTATGGAAGATACGGTTAAATATTTCAGGTGCCTCAAAAGGTAGAGCAGTAAACTGGTACCAAGTGATGTGACCAACTTCTGAGGTCAGAGAGGTCATCAAAGGCTCTCAAACTTGGAAGTGACATAACGAGATTTGCATTTTAGAGAAAAGAAATTATTCTGGTTGCACAACGTCTAGTAACTAGAAAGGGATGAATAGGACCTCAAGCAGGGGCTCAGTTAGCTGGTGAGAAATGATAAACTAAATTAGTATGGAACGTAGGAGTTACAGAGGATTAAAGGTTTCAGAATTTATTTACGAGGTACAGTTTGAGAACCTGGACATCTGTTGAACGTAAGGGATAAAGGAGGGAGTGGGACAGTCAACAGTAACATCCAGCTGTCTGGCCTAGGCCGTTGGGTGAATACAACACTATTCATTGAAACTTGGATGAAGATTGATTTTTTTGTGTGTGGTAAAGGAGAAGATAATGAGTTTTGAACAGATTTAATTTTGAGGTCTATTAGGATATCTAAATATGTGATCATCATATAATTGGACCCCTAGGCCTGGAGGTCAGAAGAAGCCATGTGTATAAAGACAAAGCAGTCATTAACATATGGACTTTGCTTGAAGCAGTAGCAATAGATAACATCACTAGATTCAGATGGAAGAATCTCAGGGGTGTGCTCAGAATAGAAGAGTAATTCTACTTCCAAAATCTAGGCAAGAGGGAGAACCAAGACATTTGATTAGTCCAAAGCTGTTCTGTCATTCTCCTCCTCCTCGTTCTAAAGCCTGCACGCTCGCCTGAGAGACAGAAAGAGAGGGACAGAAAGCGAGAAATGCCTCAGGGAGGATGGCCACACTGCAGTCCCTTCTCCTCCAGTCTCCTCTTGGGATTTTGGTTACACATATACCCACACCAAGCATGGGTTTGAAGTCACCGGATCTGGGACTTGAACAGTAGTTAGTCATGTGGGAGTTCAGTGATGTGACCATTATGCCATCTGCTGATCCCTGCTCTTAAACTTTCTTCAGTTTCAGTCCTGAAATCTTTCTGCTGCTATTAGTTCTGTCACTGTCACATGGTGTAAGCATTGAAAGCAGGGGTCCACACATTTTTTTTTTCCAATCCCACACGTATTAATTATTGTTACACTGGGTCAAAGGTGTACCTTCCAAGTTACTTTTATTTAGATTATATTCTTCTGCTTAACTCCCCACGCCTGCCACCCCTAAATTCTACCATCAGTATATATTTCCAGAAGAAAGGTAGACCAGGGCATTGACTACGTTACCAGGGGCTATTGCAATCTTCCTTCCAGTACAACAACAAAAACAATTCTAAGGTAGCCTTGTTGCTTGCAACTTCCTAATAGCAACTTTTTGTCAGAAAACAACATGCAAACACATTAATTCTGCTTATCCAAGTACTGTAAAAATTTGCATATTGAGGGGGAGAAGTCAGGAGAAGGGGCAGGATAAGGATACAGGAGAGGAGAGGGTGACACTCGAGAAAGATCCCCAAAGACTGGAGGCGGTGGGGGCAGCACATGTGGGAGGCCCTTTCCTTTCTGTGGTTGTAGTTACAGGAGAGGGCGTACGTAGGTTTGTGGATGAGAGATAAACTAGTTCCCCTACATTTTCTCTGTGGAAAAGAAGCAAGGCTGTTTATAGACATTGAAGAGGTGCATCGTAAGGGAGGTTCCAGAGACTTGAGAAGATTGGGAGGGTTTGAGATAGCCACGTAGAAGATGGAAGTGCTGACCTAGCACGGATGGAGATTTGGGGTCTAGTAGGTTGGAGTCCTTGAATTCACATGCCCTTCTCCAGGTGTTGGACAAATTTTCTCTCTCAGCACACGGCAGCTTATGGACTGGTTCTCTGCATTTCTGCTCTATTTTAAAAATTGATAACCTTTTCAGAAAGTTCAATCTTTCTTCTTTAAGCAGTAGTATTTTTTTTTCTGAAAGTCATTAGAATTCCAAATAAAGTGCCACTTTTTGGATTTGTTATCTTAAATGCGTCATTATTTTTGCATTATTTTTAAATGGTGAAGGAAACTTCTGAGATTCTCTTTTTATTCCTGTTCATTGTTTGGTATGTTGAGTAGAATTGGTCCTCCATTTTTCTTTTGATTAGAAAAACTTCTTCATTATTTTCTACTAGTGTGTTAAAACAAGAGGAAAAGATTGCACAGTTCTCTGTAAGCCTAGGACCAGTTATGTCAGGAAGCATAATTAAGTAGAGTGGAGAGCAAACATTAACTACTTTCTGTTTTCTAATAACAAAACTAACTCCCACTCATACACATTTTATAGTGAGATTGGACTGTTTGGCCAGACGTTTGAGATGCAGTATGATTTAACCTTCTCTGCCTTTTCAAAATTTATTTCGACATTTTCCTTACCACCCTGTGTTCCTTAGTCAGTGTTAGTTTAACACTGTAGTCCTGGTCCCATGGAAATGTTTCCATTTAAGTAGGTATTACCAGGTCTAAGCAGACACTTGCTATTGTTTAGCTGTTTTATATTGGGTTGTTGGGAAAGTCTTGATGCATTTTTGCATTGAAAACCAAAAAAATATGTCATGAGTTTCCCAACGACCTAATATATGTCCCCTGCCACCGACCCCATAAGAAGTAGTGGTTGTTAATGATCTTAAATACTAACTTATTCAACCTAACAAAGCTTGTTATTGATGAGATCCTGTTATTCTTTATTTTCAAATAGTGGAAATATGATCTTGAGATAAACTTTGTTTTCTTACCAAAAATGGGGATTGGGGAGAGCTGTCTTGATAGTTTACTTTGGATGCTGCTGCTTGGCAGTTTATGCAGGACTCTGCTACTTGGTAGGCTGAGGCCACATGGGAGATTTGATTTCTAGTCCACTAAAAAACTGCAGCCAGCAGGTGGCATGGTGGTTGAGGCGCTGCACTCCTACATAGTCCAGTGCGGTTCAAGTCCCGGACCTAGCGACTTGAAACTCATGCTAGGTGTGTGTGTGTGTATGCATGCATGCCCAAAGTTCTGAGAAGAGAACAGAGGAGAAGGGATTGCAGCTTGGCCATCCCTCTTGGGGGTGGTTTCTTGCTTTCTGTCTCTCTGGTAAGTGCACATACCCTACAGCAAAAGTCTCTCTCAAAAAAAAAAGAAAAAAAGCTGGGCACGGTGGTATGTGCATGTAGTTTAGCTACTTGAGAGGCTGAGGCACGAGGATCACAGTGCAGCAAGACCTGTCTCCTGTCCCCTGCCACACACACAGAGGTGTATGCACACATTCACACTCACTGCCAAACCAACCAACCAACCAATAAAAAAAAGAGGGAGTTCTTAGTCCCAGAGCACCTATAAGATTTTTGAATTTATGAAATGTGATGCACTACACTTGAAAATAGAGAAAAGTATCCAACAGAGATAATTAATAAATATTTTAAATTAGATTCTGCGTTCATGGAAGGAATATGACCTGGCAGTAATGATTATAAATTATGGGAAAAAGATGTTGGACATCACATCAGGGTGCAAATCCCTATTCGGTTATAATGAACCAGAAGAAATGCCAGAGGAGGTAATTGTTTTTTGTTTCTCATCTTTAAACATATGTTTAGTTGGGTCTTTAGGAGTCGTATAGTATTATTAAACATATTAGAAAATTGACAGGTTTTAATTTGTCATATTTACATAGAAAAGTAATATATTGCAGAGTTTCAATTGCTTTTTCTGTTTCTTTTGTTTTCTACTTTTTTTTTTGAGAGGTTTTTGCTGTAGGACATGTGAGCTCACCAGAAAGACAGAGAGAGACAGAGAGACAGAAAGCAAGAAATCACCCCCTGGGAGGATGGCCACACCACAATCCCTTCTCCTCCATTTTCTTCTCGGGATCTTGGGCATGCACGCACACACACCCGGCATGAGTTTAAGCCACTGGGTCCGGAATGTGAACCGCAGTCAACTACATGGGAGTCCACCATCATAGCTGATCCCTTTTTTTTTTTGTTTTGTTTTTTGAGTTGTAAAAAATGAAAAGAGAATCTGCTAGCATCCTGAATAGTCCCTATCGCTAGTCCTTACCATCTGGGGATGACAGAGCTTTCTACACCTCACTGGACATTGCACTGAATGCCCTTTAAAGTCTCCTCCAAATCTAAGATTTTGCGTTGTCTTGGATGGATCACTGAATGTAGTCAATGCATGTCGGGGCTTTTTACTTTATGTTCACAGTAGATGTCTGAAACTCACTGTGATACCCGAATTATCTTTCTTATGAGACTGCTAATTTTTAAGATGTATTTTTATCATCTACTTCCCAAACATGAGTTTTATAAGAGTTTATGCTTTATTGCCTTGTCTTGAAACTCTGTGGTTAAGTGGTTTCATTGATTGCAAATTTTGAATGTTATTTAGCTCATTGGGTTTCTGAGGCATGCTAGGAATTAGTTGAAGTGCCTTTTGTGACCAGGGTGAGAGTAAAGACTCTCGCCCTTGACCCTGTTTCAAGTTAGAGTAGCTTCATTCCTGTCCCTGTTACATGATGAGTTTCTAAGTAAGCATTTGTTTGCTAAAAAAGCTTCAAAATGATCACTGATTTACTGGATGATTTTTTTTTTTCTTTAGCTATAGTAATGTCTTTGGGCAGGAGGTAGAGGTTTTATCTAGAGAAATTATTTTTTCTTTTTAGTTTATTTATGTTCTCTATGAGAGAGGGAGAAAGAGAGAGAGAGAGATGAAAGACAGGCACTGCCAATAGGGCCTTCATGCCGCAATCTACTCCTGACCCCAGCCAGCCCGGATCACGGGCACAGATGAGTGCCAGCACGTCCACAGCATCCTTGGGATGCAAACCTAGTACCTTTCCATGTAGCCTCAGCATCATGGAACACTGTCACCGCTGTGCTATGGCAGCTGGCCTAGAGGTAGTTTTGATTAAGCTGGAGGCAGTTTGAAGCCCTTCAACCCCCCTTCGCCGAAGTGTTTATTCTGAGAGTCCATCAGCCAGCCCTTTTATGTCACTCAAGCCCTGACAAAGGACTCTGTCCCTTCACGCCATCAGACAGGGCCTCCTGCCCCTCTCCTTGGAACCTGCAGTCCAGCAGGGGATGTCATACTTCTCTCTAGGAGTGCTAACTTACAGGGCTCAGAAATCATTAGAGCCACTCAAGGCCCTCTAAGCCTAAGGGGCCTTGGTGGGGGTGTTTTTTGGAGAACAGACTTTGACAGGTCAGCGCTTGGGCTCAGACAGAGAAAACGTTGTGGGGAGCCTGAGCACAGACATGCCAATTCTTAATCCGCTAATTACCGATCCTGTTATGTTTCAATGAAAGGCAAAGTAGCAAAGGCAATTAGCTTAGTTGTAAAGAAGCTCCTTCTGGGAAAAAGAAAGGAAAAAAAGAATAAAGAGATATGCTTCTGAGAGCAGGCTGGGAATTCTCTTTTGAAGATTTTCAGAGACATTGCTTCAACTGCTTTAGGAAGAGTACAGGTATTGGAGGGGGCTGGGCAGAGGAGAGGAAGCACTGGGAAAAAAGGAGAAGGGAAAGAAGCTACATTCTAGGCAATCTGCATGAACATGTATCACTGGGTTGGCCTTCAGTGAGAATGCAATTCCCGTTACTATCAACTGTTAACTAGTATCCTTCAGCCACATAGCTCTTAGTTTTGTCCACCAAGTAGGAAAATATGAGAATGTAATTTAAAGAATGCTCTTTGAAAATGACAGTTTTAACATTCAAGTACATTCTGACTTTTAACCATTGTTTTTAGTTTTCTTCTAAGAGGATGTCAAAGACTAAGAAGCCACAGCAAGTATTGCCACCTGAAAAAATAAATGAACAGCTGGTTTTATTGGAGACACACCTACTGAAACTGACAAAGCAATGTAATCACTTTTTTTTTTTCCTGTTTACTTCTGTTTGGCATCACTTTATTTTATTTTTTAAATGAGAAAATATTTTGTTCAAAGGATTCAGAGGAGATTAGCCTAGAGTAAACTCTTTAATGTTTACATAGTGCTTTTAATGTCTTTAATCTGAACAATTCCCTGTTAACAAGGGATTGCAAACTGCTTTTTTCAGATGTGGCTGGTACAGATTAAGTGATTTCTTTAGGATTTTGTAGCTGGTTTGGGTTTGAGCCTACATCTTCTGATTCTAAAAAAGATTTCTCAGCCTCCACACTATTGTCATTCTGGGCCAGACAGTTCTTTGTTGTGTGGGACTGTTCCAGGCATTGCAAGATGTTAAGCAGTGTCTGTGGCTTCACCCAGAGAGCATTTTATTACCGGACCCCCAAGTTGTGACAAATGTCAAAGACTAAGAAGCCACAGCAAGTATTGCCACCTGAAAAAATAAATGAACAGCTGGTTTTATTGGAGACACACCTACTGAAACTGACAAAGCAATGTAATCACTTTTTTTTTTTCCTGTTTACTTCTGTTTGGCATTACTTTATTTTATTTTTTAAATGAGAAAATATTTTGTTCAAAGGATTCAGAGGAGATTAGCCTAGAGTAAACTCTTTAATGTTTACATAGTGCTTTTAATGTCTTTAATCTGAACAATTCCCTGTTAACAAGGGATTGCAAACTGCTTTTTTCAGATGTGGCTGGTACAGATTAAGTGATTTCTTTAGGATTTTGTAGCTGGTTTGGGTTTGAGCCTACATCTTCTGATTCTAAAAAAGATTTCTCAGCCTCCACACTATTGTCATTCTGGGCCAGACAGTTCTTTGTTGTGTGGGACTGTTCCAGGCATTGCAAGATGTTAAGCAGTGTCTGTGGCTTCACCCAGAGAGCATTTTATTACCGGACCCCCAAGTTGTGACAACCAAGGAAGAGGCAAATGTTGCCAAAAGTATCCTTGCGATGAGGAGAGTGCAACAAAATTGAGAATCCCTGGTCTAAATGCAAAAAATGTAACAGAAATAAAGGCATAGTGTGAGGAATGTTAATGTCTAAGTGGTTTAATCCATGGCCTACTACAGGAGAAGGGAGAGTGACAGAATATCTTTATTCTAGGTCATTATACTGTGGTAATTTCATAATGGACCAATGTGTTAAGGCAATTGATGTTTTAGAGGTTACAGTTTGGAAAGTTGCTTAGGAAATTGATTTAGTTTCTGGTGATGACTAAAAGTAGTTACCTCAAATCTTTTTGTTTTAGAGAGATTTTGCTATAGGGCATGTGCGCTCACTAGAGAGATTGAGAGACACAGAGAGAGAGAGAAAGCGAGAAATCACCCCCTCCAGGAGGGGATAGCCACACTGAAACCTCTTCTCCTCCATTCTGATTTTGGGAATGAATGCACATTTCCCCAGGTTGAATTTCAAGCCTCTGGGTCTGGGACTCGAACCACAACCAGCCATGTCGGAGTCCAGCAACTTAACCACTATGCCATCTACTGGTCTCCAAATCTTCTAAAAGAACAAGAGAATATCCAAATTTGTCCTAAATATGAAGTTCCACTTCTGGCCCCCTGGTTTTCTGGAAACTAACTCTCCTTATAGATTTCCATGTCCCCACCTCACCTCTCTTACTGTGTGCATCAGTTATGTTCTGGAACCCCATCAGAGATCTTTCTCTCTCAATATGATCCATGCCTGTTTCATGCCAAATTTATGAACTGAACCCAAAGTTCTGTTGTTTGCTAGTTTAGTAAACCTGATTTGGGGAATGCTGTACATTGTCTTGTTACATACTCCAAAGTATAAATGCTTAAAATGTAAATTATTCTAGAAATCTGAATTACATATATCCACAATATCAATAAAAAAACAATTTAGTAAAAAGGACAATGTAATATCATAAGCTATGTGGTAAATTCAATAGTAACACAAATAATTATTTTTACATTGTTTTCTATGTTCCAGTCACTATTTTAAGTGTTTTCTTAAAAAGTTTCTTTAAAAAGTTTTTTGTTTGTTTGCTTGTTTTCCCTATAGGGTATGTCCACTTGCCAGAGAGAAAGAGTGAGAGGGAAAGTGAAAAGTCAACCACCAGGGGGAATGGCCATGCTGCAATCCCTTCTCCTCCAGTCTCCTCTCGAGATTTTGGGCATGCACACAAATGGTGTGTGTTTCAAGCCATTTCCTCTGGGACTTGAACCACAGAGTCAGCCATGTGGGGTCCATATACATAACTGCCATACGACCTGCTATACCAAAGCAGATCCTGTTATTATCCCCCTTTTAAAGATAAGAAAACAGGCACAGCAAAGCTAAGTAAATTCCTGGAATGTCATAACTAAAAAGTATGAGTTAGAATTTGAATGTGAATGATCTGGATCCAGTGACTGTATGTACTTTAAAGCCTTTCAAAGATAACTTTATTAAAATGAAATTCACACAAGTAGTAGGTTTCAGGGTCTGAGTTTGCTGACCTGTCCCATCTGTTGGATAATGGTGAATCATGCCTTTGAAACTCTTCACCTCTTTGGTAGTGGACTCTTTAGCTTTTAGATGAAAGACAAAATGAAAGAAAATAATTGAGATGATTGGATTTTCCTTTTCAAAATGTACTGATATAGTTAATATTTTAAGACACATGATTTAGAATTGAATATTTATTAATGTTTTAAACCTTAGATCTTACGGCTGAACTCTCGGGAGCAGAGGACCCTATATTTCTTTACCCTATAGTTTTAAATTGGTCAGTCAAAGGTTCAGTGAAAGAAGGTAGGTGACCTGAATGTGTCAATATTCACTCAACTTACCCTTGTCAATACTTCGTTCTGTAGTTTTGGTTTCTGTTGTCTACTTAAAGGTTTCACCTTTTCTACCCAGAACTTACCCATTCAGAATGGTGCAGACTGTAGATTGCCAAGAAATGAAAGACACCTAAATATATTCCTGACTTAAAGTCTAAAAAGGGAGAATCTTGATGTAGGCTTATTTAAATAGTGAACAGTGAGTGTTACTATGAAGATTAAAAAGCTAATGCATTGCAAAGCGCATTAGTGATTTTTAAGTTCAACGCTAAAGAAATAGCAACATTAATGCTTAATTCAAAGTAAAATAAAATAAAATTTAGGATAACTAGTTATCAGCAATTTTTCCCTAATTAGGCATAGGTTGCAAGCATTTATTTTTTAATGAAGTCTTTCTCAACAGAGATATTTAGAAAATAAATGAACTATAAACTGCAAAGGATTAGTTGATTTTAGAAAAACAATAGCTCATGCCACATTTACTCTTGCATTTTTTTCTATCACATATTCATTTATTTATTATTGGCATTCAATAATTGTACATATTTGTAGGATATGGTAGAATTTTTCAGTAAAAGAATACAATGCATAATGATTAAAGCAGGGTAATTAGTCTATCTAGCATCTCAAACCTATGTCACTACTTTGTGTTGGAAATATTCAACCCCCTCCCTTTTTTTAGTTACTCTGAGATATACAGTAAATTGTTGTTAAGTATATTTACTCTACTACATTTTGCAACACTAGAAATTGGTCCCCTTATCTATTTGTAATAATAACCAAGATATGGAATCAACCTATGTACTCATCAACAAATGAGCCGATAAAGAAATGTGCGTGTATTTATGGATGCACACACACAGGCACACACACACAATGGAATATTATTTAGCTGTAGAGAAGAATGAAGTCCTGGGGCCAGGAGGTGGTGTGGTGCTTAAGGTGCTGGACTCCCATGTGGCCAACTGAAGTTCAAGTCCTGGGCTTTGCATCTTGAAAATCATGCTGGATGAGTGTGCATGCATGCCTCAAACCCTGAGAGAAGAATGGAGGAGATGGGACTGAGGCCTGGTCCTCCTCCGGATAGGGTGCTTTCTCACTTTCCCTCTCACTGTCTCTCTTTGTCTCTCCCTGGCGAGTGCATGTGCCCTATGGCAAAAACCTTAAAAGGAAAATGAAGTCCTGTCATTTGAAGTTAAATGGGTGAGCTTAGAGGATATTAAGTAAAGTGAAATAAGCCAGGCACATATAGAGAAATACTCCTATGTGTGTGTGTGTGTTTGTGTGTGTGTGTGTGTGTGCCATACAGAGCATGCATTTGTTAGAGAGGAGAGAAACAGAGAGAAGGGAAGTGAGAAATCACCTCCCTCCTGAGGAGGATGACCATGCCACAATTCCTTCTCCTCCTGGAATCTTGGGCATACATTCAAGCACCAAGCACCTGATATGATTTTCAAGCCACTGGGTCTGGGGCTCAAACCATGGGGAAGCTCAATGTTTTACCCATCCCGCCACCACCTAACCCTACTCCTATATATATTTTTAAAGCAAGAAATCTAAAAATCAGATGAATAAACTCACCTGTTGGTACTATTAACACTAGTAATCTTCTAGTGCCAATAAGTAAGTAAACTTGTAGACATATATGGATTTCCTTGTTTTGGCAGTTATGAAATTTAAGCAGAGACCCAGGTTCCTGGAATTCTTCACCCAAGTTATGCTAAAATGCATAAACGATGAAAAATTTCATCTTATGGTGGAGATAACAAGTCCCGTCATCGACTTCTTAAAAAGGTACTTGTAATATGAGTTTATAAAGGTTAGTAATTTTAAAACGTGAGTAACATTGCCACTTTAAGATACATAAAGTAGATGAAAAGAGGGCGGGGAACATACAGTGAAAACAAGCATCTGGGAGAGAGCAAAGAGTTATGTCTCTCTGTTAATCAGTAAATAGCTAAATGTGAACATATTTATGCAACTTAACTAAGAAGTGAGAGTAGAACATGTTCAGATTTCTAGCAAGAAATAGAAGAGTCTATCACTATCGGTCTGCACAGATAATAGCATTTCTGGCCCATCACCTGTCTCTCATGCAGGGTTTTGGTTCCAGATTTGCTTATTTGCCACACATTTTTAAATCCTCTCTAGTGAAAGTAATGAGCAGGGCCATTTTATGGGGTTTCCATTCGTCTGTGTGAATGGGCAGATCTGCAGATAGGAGAAGTAAACCACATTGTTGTCTGCCTTATTCTCTAAGCCCAAATGACTCTCTTTGCTCCCAAAGAAACAATAGTGTCTAATATTAGTTATGACAGATGCCAAATGAATCCAACTTTTCTTTTGGCAACTACCAACTGGGCTTTTCTTTCACCATTGAGCCACAAATCTATCCACTCTGTGTTGATAACAGGAAACCTCAGTAACATGAAATCTATTTTTTAAGTGGCAGTTAAAATGAAGAGAAATACCCTTAAAAACATATAGGAACATATTCTTTGTAAAACATGCACTTCATTTATAGGAACAGAAGTTCAGAATATATACACTTCATATTTTCAAGAGTTAAAAGAGGAAATCATTTCTATTAAATGAAACAGACAATAATAATATAATTGATCAGAATTAGTTCCATTAAATTTTTTTAAAAAAGAGCCAACATTAGATGTTTAGAAGATTTAAATAATCTTGATATCAAAGAAAATTGGGGGAACCAGCAGTTAGCGTAATGGCTATGTCGCTGGACTCCCACGGAGTCAACCGCGGTTCGTGTCCCGGACCCGGTGGCTTAAAACTCATGCAGGGCGCGTGTGCGTGCGTGCCCAAGATCCCGAGAGGAGAATGGAGGAGAAGGGATTGCGGCGTGACGATCCCCCCTGGGGGGTGATTTCTCACTTACTGTCTCTATGTCTCTCTCTGTCTGTCTGGCAAGCACACGCGCCCTATAGTGAAAACCTCTCCAAAAAATAAAAAAGAAAGAAAGAAAATTGGAAGACCCTTTCAGTGTCCTAAGAAATTTAGAGGGCTAACTGTGGAAAGACCATCCTGAGAATAACAGATATTCTGAAAGATGAGAACAGACCAAATGGCTTAGCAGTGTTCAACAGTGGTATACTAAAAGATCTGATATTGGAAATTGAGCAGTATAACTGAGTTTAAAACATAGCAATAATTTCATTTTTCAAGGCTGAGCAGATATTTTTCGATGCTCTTCCTCTGTGTACATAGAGAAGGTGGAGGTGCAGATGCAATACCTTGATTTCTACTTGATGATAATATCTATTTTCTATTTATATTCATATGTCTAAGATGTTTTTGCCCATGGGGAAATTTTTCTTATGTTACAAGAGGCAAATAATACAGGCAAATACAGGCAAATAACCTGTATTTTCTTTCAAATTCCACAACTTCATGATATGATCTCTTTTAATCCATATGGAATTTATTTTGGTATGGGGACTTGGAGTTAACTTTAGTTTTTCTCCAGTTTATCAGTTCTTCTGATACTATTTAAAGAATAACTTCATTCAACACTATTTTTTAAGAATTATCAATTTAATTTTATTTATTCATTCATTTATTTTAATTTGACCAGAGAGAGACACAGAGAGAAAGAGAGGGAAAGTGAGAAAACAAGCCACCAGGTGGACTCAAACTGTGGTCAGCAATGTGGGAGTATCCATTGCTTTAATCTAGTGCCTTAACTGCCATGCCACCTACTGGCCCCCTCAACACTTATTTTTAATACTACCGTTCCATGTTAAAGTGGATCAGCCTACTAATAATACTTCTAAGTCATTATGAAGAACTGGAGAGTTGATACTTACATCTTAAGGCTGCTGTAAAGTCAAATAAAATAAGGTTTGCACAGTACTATGAGAGATGCACCAAATTAGTGCACTGAAGAATCTGCCAAACCAGAACATATGATCTTGAGTACATATATTTTTTTATCATTTATGGCCTCCAAACATTTATCTGTTCATTCTTTAAATAATAGTTTATTGAAAAAGCGAATAGTCAACCATAATTAAAAGAGATAAGCTATTATCAGTAGTTAAGGCAAATATGTTTCCTCTTCTTAAAAGGAAAGCGATATTGTAAATTTTAATTCATTTTATAAAGTTGTATTTTTTTAGGTGTTTTTGTTTTGCCATAAGACGCCTGCATTCTCCAGAGGGAGAGAGAGAGAGAAAGATAGAGAGACAAAAAGTGAGAAATCACTCCCCATGGGGGATGGTCATACCTCAGACCCTTCTCCTCCATTCTTCTCTTGGGATTCTGGGCATGCACACACATGCACCTGGCATGATTTTCAAGCTACAGGGTCTGGGACCTGAATCATTGTCAGCTATATGGGAATCCAGCACCTTAACCACCATGCCACTTGCTGGCCCCATTACACAATATTTTGTATATACTATGCACTTTACCAATATTACCTAATTAAAATCTCATGTAGCTCTATCAGTGAGGTGTTATTTTTATTTTACACACAAGGACTTGGCACAGAGGAGTTTAGTAATGTGCCCAACCCCACATGCCAATAAATGGTAAAGGAGAAATGTGCCCAAATAGACAACTTCTGAGTTGATGCTTTTAGCCAGTTAGCTAATTTGTTGAATATAATTAATTATAATTACGATTAAAAACGTGAAGGAGGTACACAGGGTGCTGTGAAGTAAGGGTAGCAATGTTTGTCAACAAATAACTTTTTGGGGAACCAGCAGTTAGTGTAATGGCTATGTCACTGGACTCCCATGTGGTTGACCGTGGTTCGTGTCCTGGACCCGGTGAATTAAAACTCATGCCGGGCGCATGTGCGTGTGTGCCCAAGATCCTGAGAGGAGAATGGAGGAGAAGGGATTGCGGCGTGACCATCCCCCCTGGGGGATGGTTTCTCGCTTTCTGTCTCTATGTCTCTCTCTGTCTGTCTGGCGAGCGCACGCGCCCTACAGTGAAAATCTCTCAGAAAACAAGCCACCAGGTGGACTCAAACTGTGGTCAGCAATGTGGGAGTATCCATTGCTTTAATCTAGTGCCTTAACTGCCATGCCACCTACTGGCCCCCTCAACACTTATTTTTAATACTACCGTTCCATGTTAAAGTGGATCAGCCTACTAATAATACTTCTAAGTCATTATGAAGAACTGGAGAGTTGATACTTACATCTTAAGGCTGCTGTAAAGTCAAATAAAATAAGGTTTGCACAGTACTATGAGAGATGCACCAAATTAGTGCACTGAAGAATCTGCCAAACCAGAACATATGATCTTGAGTACATATATTTTTTTATCATTTATGGCCTCCAAACATTTATCTGTTCATTCTTTAAATAATAGTTTATTGAAAAAGCGAATAGTCAACCATAATTAAAAGAGATAAGCTATTATCAGTAGTTAAGGCAAATATGTTTCCTCTTCTTAAAAGGAAAGCGATATTGTAAATTTTAATTCATTTTATAAAGTTGTATTTTTTTAGGTGTTTTTGTTTTGCCATAAGACGCCTGCATTCTCCAGAGGGAGAGAGAGAGAGAAAGATAGAGAGACAAAAAGTGAGAAATCACTCCCCATGGGGGATGGTCATACCTCAGACCCTTCTCCTTCATTCTTCTCTTGGGATTCTGGGCATGCACACACATGCACCTGGCATGATTTTCAAGCTACAGGGTCTGGGACCTGAATCATTGTCAGCTATATGGGAATCCAGCACCTTAACCACCATGCCACTTGCTGGCCCCATTACACAATATTTTGTATATACTATGCACTTTACCAATATTACCTAATTAAAATCTCATGTAGCTCTATCAGTGAGGTGTTATTTTTATTTTACACACAAGGACTTGGCACAGAGGAGTTTAGTAATGTGCCCAACCCCACATGCCAATAAATGGTAAAGGAGAAATGTGCCCAAATAGACAACTTCTGAGTTGATGCTTTTAGCCAGTTAGCTAATTTGTTGAATATAATTAATTATAATTACGATTAAAAACGTGAAGGAGGTACACAGGGTGCTGTGAAGTAAGGGTAGCAATGTTTGTCAACAAATAACTTTTTGGGGAACCAGCAGTTAGTGTAATGGCTATGTCACTGGACTCCCATGTGGTTGACCGTGGTTCGTGTCCTGGACCCGGTGAATTAAAACTCATGCCGGGCGCATGTGCGTGTGTGCCCAAGATCCTGAGAGGAGAATGGAGGAGAAGGGATTGCGGCGTGACCATCCCCCCTGGGGGATGGTTTCTCGCTTTCTGTCTCTATGTCTCTCTCTGTCTGTCTGGCGAGCGCACGCGCCCTACAGTGAAAATCTCTCAAAAAAAAAAAACCCAAAAAAACCCAAATAACTTTTTGGAAACATACTTCACAACAAAACAATGTATGTCTGATTTACTGTCATATATATTATGCCTAAAATAGTACCAGATCCATAGTAGGTACTCAATAAATATTGTTGTAATGTTGGATTTTTAAAAGAAAAATATCATTTAAGAATATATTTTATGAAATTTTATGTTCTATTTAACAAAAAGTCAAAGTATGTGGAAATAACTGCTGAAAAGAAGGCTAATTTGGCAGAAATATACTAATATTGAGAGCTTAATCTGTCACTTTAAAAATGAACAAATTAAAAAGGACATAGAGATACATATGGTATAATTAATAAGATTAATTTAACATATAACCAAACAAATATGAGAAAGCAGGAAGAAGACTATAAAAAGATGAAATTAATTAAATATAAGTTGGTTTTATAGTAGTCCAATTGATAACTTAAAAAGTTGGTTGTTTTAAAAATACAAGTAGGGCCAGCTGGTGGTGTGATGGTGTGGGCACTGGATCTCACGTGGCCAACTGTGCAGTTCAAGCCCCTGACCCAGCAGCTTGAAAAACATGCCAGATGCCTGTGTGCGCCTGTCCAAAATCCTGAGAGGAGAATGGAGCAGAAGGAATTTTGGAGTGGTCATCTCCCCTTGGAGGGTGATTTCTCCCTTTCCTTCTCCCTCAGTCCTCTCGCTGGCAAAATTACTTTTAAGAAGCAAACTGTTTCAGAGCATGGGTGTCAAGTGCCTATAAATTTAGCCCAGCAGGCTCAGATAACAGAGCCTTATAAAAAGAAAATTAAAAAATGGAAAATTATGGATTAATTTTACTTAGCAGTATGTAAAGCAACATTTCAAAATAAAGTAACATGTAAATTCAGCAATAAAAAATGTAGATTTTATTCTCAATGCAAATATAGTAGGAAATCTGTCGATACAATTATCGCTGGTTGCCAAAACGCCCTTTAGTAGCTGCTAAAATGTCATGTGGTGAAATTGAACAACTATTTCTGGCAAATTAGGATTATAAGAATGTTTTTGTCAAAATAAACTCTATAACAAACTGTTATCCCTTTCATCATTAAACATTGTTCTTAACATCCTTGCAAGTTCATTAAGATAAGAAATAGAAGACGAAGTTAGAATTTATGTGACTATTAGACAGCAGGGTCTCAAAAATGTTTCTTAAATGAATTCTACAGTAAAATACTTTTAAAATGGAGATAAAATGATTGATATTCACAAATAATCATTTTAAAATGTAATAAGCTAGAGATAATTAATTGAAAACTATTAGAACTAGTGGTAGACTTCAACCAGAATGGCTAGATTCAAAACTGATAGATTTCCTACACCAACTAGAAAGTATAATGGAAAAATGATCTAATTTCTATGGAGTACAGGATTAAATTTATCAGGAATTGTAAGGGGAATTAGGCTAATAAAATGTCCAAATATCTTTACAGAGAGATATAAAAAAAATTTAAATAAATGAAGTGACATTTTGTATTACTTGATGGGCAGACATTATAAAGATTATTATTATTCTCAATTTGTTGTTTTAATGTAATTCCAATAAAAACTCCAATTAGATCTGTTAATGTAGGCTGGGCCAGAATAATGAAAATTATTAGAAAAATGAAAAAAGAGCAAAAAGGAGGGATTCATACTATCCAATAAAGTATAGCAAAATTGTGCTTGTGAAATCATAGACAATCATTGGGACTCGGGTGACTCAGAAACAGGCACTAAAATAAGTAATCAAAACAGTGGATGGCCCAAGAAATGAAAGTTAATAATGCCGATTATATAAAAATTAAAAAATTCTATTTAACAAAATATTCCATAATCAAAATAAAAAGCAGTCAATCAAAACTTCATAGAGCTGTGCAGAAGTCAAGGAATCGAGGAGTTTAATTTATTCAATGGATGAAGGTTCTGCAGCATGTGGAGGAGGGCTGAGACGGGGTAAGATAGTAGTCTAAGTGTACATGCATGGCCTCCTCTCCTCCCCACTTCTTTCTGAAATAACACAGCACCCAGGTCAAGCATTTCCAGTGATGTAGGAGAGTGATGTATAGAAGAGACAAATCTGGTTGGAAAATGACAGGCAACCAGTCCCAGGATGCAAACGTCAGGGGACAGATCCTTAAGTCCCCAGTAGTCATTGGTCCAAACTATAAATTAGGTTGTCGGGAGAATCATGATGTATTTTTCTATGCAAAATGCATCACGGCTCTCCCAACAACCCAATAGTTCATGTAGATGAAACATTTGTCAAAATGCATGTCCACTAACTAGCTGATTCTTAGAATTGCTACGACCAGCCATAAGATGCAAGATCATCATCAAATTGCTTCTGAGGTCAAATGGATTTGGATCATGTTCCCCAAACTCTGGAACTAACTAGCTATCCAGACTAACCGAGACATTTCATTAAACTCACATCGATGTGACCCTATATTTTATTCAGTTTAAGTTTTTGGATCTCATTCATTATGTTATAGCAGGGTATTGTTGCATCTTGCAAGTACTTAACCAAAAAATATACAAGTTCTAGAAAATTTATAAATTTCAGGAAAAATAGGTGGTATATATTAGTAGAGGGATATGGAAACTTTGTAGTATTCAGAGAAAGGACTGCATTATCACTGCATTCCACTAGAGTCCATAATTAAGAAAATAAAGTTAACAGCCTCTGCAGGTGATTGGGGGAAAACACAATGCTTAGCAGGCATCTAAAATACGTAGCTTCTTTTGGTATCCAGAAGACCATAGTGGTGGGGAGTTTGCACAGGAAGCAACCAGAGACTGAAAACTGGGAAGCAAAGTAGCTTGACTAGGGTCACCTTGGTTAGTTTTCTCTCACTTGTACAGTGTCTACATTATTTTATTCTCAGTTTAATTCAATTTCACCTACACCATGTCTTTAACTCCTCCTCCTTTTTTCTATAAGCGTATCAGCTGTCATCGCGTTTTATGGCATAGTTTACCTTTGGCTCTCTTGAGAGGCCAGCTATTCCTTGATGACCAGAGATACCACAGTCTAATTTATGCATGGGACATAAGAAGTTCTGGATATTCTTCTATGATCTCAGTGTCAACACTGATTGAAGATTTATTACTTTGGGATAGTTTTGCAAATTTTGCAGATCCTTTCAACTAACTTTACTTAATTTTTATTTATTTATTTTTGTGTGTGTTAGGAGAAATGAGTCCCTGGTAGGAGTGAAAAAAATGAAATATAAAGACAGTGCTTTTTGTAAAAGGATGAACAAACCTTTCAAGAAGTACAAAGCTGCAGTAATAGAAATTGGAAGAGTAAGTTTCCTATGAGTTTCAAATTTCAGATAATGAGGAGAGTCATGTATCTAGTGATTTGCTAAGTTTTAATATATTATAATGTGAAACAGAAGGAAATACCAACATGCTTAGTTCTGTAAATATGCTCTTAAGTTATATAGATAAATATTTATAATTAGATTTTTTTTTTGTCTATTGGCTATTTATGTTCCTTTGGGTAGTAATTTTAATTAAAGGATATAAAGAAATCACTGTATTTTAATGTCAAGGATTAAGTATCAGAGTATGAGTAACTGTGCTAGTATATTAAAGTTTAAATTTAGTTTGTAATATTTTGTTATCTTCTCTATTAAGAGTACAGAAATGCTACCAAGAAAGAATAGAAAAAGAGAAACTCTAAGAAATTTTTTTTCCAAAAATCCAACTATTAATGAAATGCCAGTACACGAAAGGTACTCACTTATTAATTAATTGAATGAAAGTTTATGTGTGTTGGGTATTATTTTTGTACCGGGGATATGCTGGTGTACCAGACAATTAAAATCACTGCCCTCTAAGAGCACTAATACTTATGGAACGAGGATGAGAAGAAGGGAATCAAGGGGAAAAAGAAAGAACATTTAAGGGACAAAAACTGAAAATGATCTCTTGATGATAATGTGTATGATAATATCTTTAACTGGACTATAGTGTATTCATGCCAGGAAAATTCACTTTATATGCTGTGATGCTATACAGTGATTGAATGTATAAAAATATATATATTCAAAGAAAGAAGCACAGTATACAAGTACACATACAAATGAAGAAGACAATTTACAATTTTGAAAAATATTATGAAGAAAATGAAAAGGATGATATACTATAGAGTAATTGGCTTGGTGGGGCTGTTGTTGGCAACAGTTTATGTAGAATTGTCGCAAAACCAAATTGGTAAATTACTTTTAATTATTAGTGAACCTAAACATTATTGATCACAAAACTTATCATGATAAAATGTTTAGCTTCTACTTTTATAATATTGAATATCTTGTTATGTGCTTGATTGACCATTAATATATCCTCTTCTAGTGAAATGTCTCTTTATATCTTTTGCTCATGTTCTAATTGGATTGTTTTTATTTTTCTGTTGATTTTTGAGCATTCTTTATATATTCCAGACACAAGACCTTTGTTGAATATGTGGTTTCCAATTTTTTTTCCTAGTATGTGGCTTATCTATTTTTCCTCTCCACAGAGTTTTTTGTAGAGCAAACATTTTTATTTTTGTTGAGGTCCAATTCATCCGTTTTCCTACTATGTTTTATATTTTTATGTTTTCCACTTAAGTTATGATCCATTTTGAATTAATTTTCACTTTCTGTATATAGTGTGTGGGTTAGATTGAGGTTCATATTTTTACCTATCAATGTCCAATTTCTCCAGCATCCTTTGCTGAAAAGACTATCCTTCCTCCATTGGACTGATTTTGTTCCTCTGTCAAAAGTCAGCTGGACATATTTCTGTGGGTCTACTTTTATTTCTAGAGAGATTTTTGCTATAAAGCGTATGTGCTCACTGGAGAGACAGAGACCGGGGCGGGGGAGAGAAAGCGAGAAATCATCCCCGGGGAGATGGTCATGCCACAATCTCTTGCCCTTCATTTTCCTTTTGGGATTTTGGGCATGCACACACATGTGCCTAGCATGAGTTTCAAGCCAAGAGTTGAACCATGGTCAACTACATGAGAGTCCAGTGACAATCATTATACCATCTGCTGGTTTCTTTGTGTTTCTATTTCTGGGCTGTCTATTCTGTTCTACTGATCTGTGTATCTATGACTCTGCCAATGCCTCACCCTATTTTTTTTTTTTTTTAAGATTTGTTAGGGTAGATGTTTATTCTAGTTTTCTTCAATTTTTAAAATATATATTTATTTAATTTCACTTGTTATTATTTTTTTTAACTTGACTAGAGAGAGACTGAGAGAGAGAGAAAGGGAAAGCAAGAAAGGAAGCCACCAGGTATGGAACTCAAACTGTGGTCTGCCATGTGGAAATTCAGTGCCTTTAACCACCACACCCCGCTGGCTCCAAGTTTTCTTAAATTTTTAAAGTTTTTTATTTATTTCTCCCATGAACAAGACAGAGAAAGAGTATACCCATCATGGTCTTGACTTCATGATCTATTCTCAATCTTCATCCAGTCCTAGATCACAGGCATGCACATATCTGATGTATTCAGGGAGGTCTCTAGACATGAATCTGAACCTGCCCATGTGGATTGCCGCCTACAGTGTTTTGTTTTACTGCTACTCTACCCTGTGGCCCCATCGCAATCTCTTTCTTGATTTCTGTGGTTGTACAGTAATCCTTAACATCAGATTGAGGGATTCCTACTACTTTATTCTTTTATAAAATTATTTTAGGTACTCTAGATTCTATACCATTTTATATAAATTTTAGAATAAGCTTGTCTGTAATATGACTTTTTAAGATTTTTAAAAATGGGGCTAGCAGGTGTTATGGTGGTTAAGGAACTGCACTCCCACATGGCTTACTGCAGTTTGAGTCCTGGACAGGTGGCTTGAAAATCATGCCAGATGCGTGTGTATGTGCCCAAAATCCCAAGAAGAGAATGAAGGAGAAGGGATTGCAGCATGTCCATAACCCTTGGGGAGTGATTTCTCACTTTCCCTCTCTTTGTCTCTATCTCTATCTGTGTGTGTGTGTGTGTGTGTGTGTGTGTGTGCGTGCGTGTGTGTATATATACATTTTCTGTTTAAGTATGACCTTTGCTGTGGAATTTGGAAAGAACCCTTTTAGCAAATTTAGGGAATTGTTTTCTATTCATTTTCTAAGGATTTTGGTATGATTTTTGTTTAATTTTATTGAATATTTATCCTTCATTGAGAATGTTTTTGTCCTTCAATCTAATTAGTAAATTACATTAATACATAAGTGCTCAAACATGTGGTGTATTTTTGCTCATGCCACTTTTGAACCCAACTGAGAGATCTCATATACCCTTTGACCAGTTTTTTCTAATGATAATAACTTGCATAATTATAGTACAAAAATGGAATCAGAATCAGCCTCGTAACATCACCCTTAAGCCCTGTGCATAGTAAGCCTGATTTTCACACACTAACCATGGTTTGAATCCCAGCCCTAGTGGCTTGAAAAACCTACTGGCCATGCGTGTGCATTATCAGAAATCCTGATAAGATGGAGAAATGGAGGAAGAAGGTTTTAAAGTGTGAACTTTTCCCATTGAGAAAGGTGCTTTTGAGGTGCTTTCTCTCCCTCTCTCTCTCTGGTGAGTACACGAGCCCTTTGGCAATTAAAAAAAGTGCAATTAAATTCTGACACTTATTTTTTGGAGAGGTTTTTTTTTTTTTTTTTTTCTAAAGGGGGGCATTGGCTCATGGAGGAATTTTTGCTATAGGGGTGCATGTGCTCATGAGAGAGACAGAGAGACAGAAAATGAGAAATCACCCCCCAGGAGGATGGCCACGCCACAATCCCTTCTCCTCCATTCTCCTTTCAGGATTTTGGGCACGCACACACACACGCACCTGGCGTGAGTTAAGCCACCGGGTCTGGGACTCAAAGCACTGTCTTCTAAATGAGAGTCCAGTGACATAGCCATTATGCCAACTGCTGGCCCAAATTCTGATACTTTTAACCTGGAGTTAGCTTTATCAAATCACACAAGTTAAAGGGCTCAGCCCCACAAAACCGCCCATTTCCAGTGCCAGCCACGAGTGGGATGCCAGGCTATCCACGTATCTGGCCAGCTGACTGCAAATTTGGAAGTTCCCTGTAGGGTTCAAAAATTTGCTGGAAGAATTCAGAGCACTCAGGAAAACACTTTGCTTATGTTTCCTGGTTTATTATGAAGGATACAAATGAAGAGCCCAATGAAGGATACACAGGACAAGGTCCAGAAGGGTCCCAAGCACATGAGCTTCTGTGCCTCCCTGCCCTCCTGCCTTGTGATCACAATTACCTCTCTGAAAGTTCTTTGAACTCAGTTTTCAAGAGTTTTGATACCCTGATTTGTAACCATCCATCCCATTGGAGATTGGAGGAACAGAGCCTGAGAGCTCCCACCCTTTAATCCTGTGCTTCATCTTTTAACCCTATGGAGGCTATCTAGGGGCCTCATCTCAGTCACCTCATTGGCATAGACTCACTATGTTCCAGAAGGACTTGTTATGAATCACAAAAGAAATTCCTAGAGTTTTAGGAGCTCTGTGCCAGGGACAGGGAACAAAGACCAAATATTATGAATAATACTGCTGTGAGCATTCACGGTCCAGTTTGGGTTTAGATGTGTTTTCTTTTCTTTCTTTTCTATGTTCTTTCTTTTAATTAATTCAGTTCTTCTTCTAATATTAAAAGTAGGATGCTTACTTCGTATACTTGTGGGATTTTTCTTTTGGTAGAAATTGACAAGCAAATTTTAAATGTGCAAGAAAAAAGAGTGCCACAAAAAGCTAATACCTGGAAAAGGCCTTCTGTTTTAAAGCATACATACAATATCTGTACCATTAGTTATTAGCAAGCTTTCAGAAATTTCAGGGAAGTGGAATTATAGAAACCACATGCAATTAAGGTAGAAAGCAATTTTTGAAAAGATAACTAAAAAGATTCTCTCTATTTGAAAATTTTAAGTAGGTACTTAGCAGTAATTAATGAGGAAAAGTAAAAATTATAGTGATAATATAAAAACACCAAGAACGTGCCAGAAGTATGGTTTGAATCCTTTAATTACTGTTGTAATTGCATCCTACAATTCATAATAAAAAGGTAGTGTTTCTATTTTTATTTGGTTCCATACATTTTAAAATGATCCTTGTAATTTATATGTCCTGATTCTCAAATTCTTCTACATTTGGTCAATAGGAACCCTTTTAGGCTTGCTCCTTAATTTTTTTGACACGTTCCCATCATTTTTGTGAGCTCTTTCTTACCTAGCACAAATGTTTATCTTATAGTTGCCCTGTTTCAGTCCTGGAATCGGTTGATTCTTTTTAGTGGAAAATAGTATTGTAGTGTCATTGTGGGGGTTACTAATGTGGCTTTTCATCTGGGCACTCTCAACACAGCTAAGGAATATATTTACACATAAATATATCTGTAAATCCATTTATGTAATCTATTTATCTATTTGATTTATCTATCTAAATATTTTTTAATTACTAAAGGACACATGTGCTTGCCAGAGAGAGACAGCCCGGGGCGTGGAGTAGGCATAGAAAGAACTTCCCCTACCCCCACCCCCTCAATTGAGGCATTGTCAGGCTGCAGTCCTCCTTCATTTCTCCATCCTGTTGGGATTTGGCGCATGCATGCACACACACCGCCATGTTTTTAAAGCAATTAGGGCCAAGATTCAAACTATAGCTGGCTGTGTGGGATCTGGCTCCCTTAATCACTAGACTATAGGGCCAGCCTTCTCTTAATATGACTATCTAAATATTTATATCTCATATCTATTATACTCTTTCTGTCTCCATAAGTTTATTCTGATACCTCCCATTTCAAATTTAGCACCATGAGATACTTTTCATTTTTTCCTTTTTGAACTATAACTCTTCTACCTAATGATGAGATTCCTGGTTCCACAAATGTCAATTTATTAACTCAATTCTTCAAGCTAGAATACACAGAGGGCAGAAGGTAGTTTCAGAATCCCTTAGTTAATGAATTAATTTCTCTCTCTCTTTAAAAAAGAATGTGTTCATTTATTTCTTCTATGAGAAAGATAGATATATATAGAGATGGAGAGACAGCACCTCTGACAGGGTCTTTACGGGGACTTCTCCACTCACAGTTAGCCAGTCTGGATCATGGGCATGTCCATGCCTTACATGCTAGGGAGATCCCAGGATATGAACCCAGGACCTTCTTCGTGTAAGTCCAGTTGCGTTACTGCTATGCCACTGCCTGGTCTCCTTAGCATTTTTCAAATTCAAGTTCTTTCTGCTTCCTCTGTGGCTCCATATCACTGAGTATTCTTGAAGATTGTTCTTCTTGAGCTTCCTCTCAGTCTGTTGGGTCTTCATATTTGTTGCTTATGAAGACACAGATCTGGTTGCTGGAGTACCCTAAATGTTAAGAACTGTCCAGGTGGCAGAAGAAGCAGCATTTCCCATCCTTGTGGCCTAGTTGTTAGTGCCCGTCCAAATTATCCAGATCTTGTCTGTCATTACCTTGTAGAGATACTGAGAGGAATCCCATCCTCTTGCTCGATAGTCGGGAAGATGCAGCTAATCCTGCTGATTTTTCTTGGCCTTTTGAGGTGAATTATCTGCACATAGGGACAGGATTGATTTTTATTTTGGAAGTTATATTTTTCATTTTCAAGATACAGTTATTAAAAAGATTCTTGTTGGGGTCAGCAGGACACTGAATTCCCACATGGCCAACTGCAGTTTGGCTCCCAGACCTGGTGGCTTGCTTTCTCACTTTGTCTCTCTCTCTCTTTTACTCTGTCCCTCTCTGGTCAAATTAAATAAATAAATGAGGTTAAATAAAATAATTCTTTAAAAAAATTCACATTTGTTGGGAAACCAAATAACATATTACTAAAAGAGAGAGAAGACTAAAACACCTTGCATTAAAAGAGAATAGTTAACAAAATAGAAAATATTTAGACCTGAAAAACATAAGTACTATATATTAAAAAAATACAGTCTTGTTGTTTATACTTGAAATCTGAGCTATTAGCTAAAATTTGAATGCTATTTTTTCTGGAGTAAAATGAATATGCATTTATAAAGTCATTTAATCTATATGCAACTGTCGTGTTTTATTTCTTCTTGAATCTGACTAACATTGGAGAAAATTTTGCTACATTGTCCTTTTTTTACATGACTACCAATACAGAGAAGGGACTTTTTTGTTTAATATTGAAATTAGCTGATGAATGTAAATATTACATTATAATTTAATTGTCTGGCCTTAGTGACCTTTTGCTGATGGGAAATAAAAGCTCTGTTTGACTTGAGCTAAGACAGACATCAAAAAGCATTGAAAACAATACCTGGTGTCTTTGTCCCTGGTGCTTATCCTGTGTTTTCTTTTTCTTTCTTTTTTTTTTTTTTAAAGATTATTTATTTTATTATTATTATTGTTATTATTTTGAAGTTTTGCTATAGGGCACAGAGAGAGACAGTGAGAGAGAAAGAGAAGTGAGAAAGGAGTCTCGCATGGTCAGTCACGGCTGACGTGGTCTCATATGGCTGACCCTGTGAGAGTCCAGCTCCTCAACCACCATACCACCTGCTGGCCCCTCCTGTGTCTTCTTTACCACCCTATTTCATAGTTTTCTCACTGAGGAAAGAGTAATAAGTCAGAAACATTTGCATAAGAGCAGGCAAATGATTTCTTGATTTTTTTTTGGTACAGATTAGAATCACTCTTCTTTATTGCATATTTGGAATAGCTTGTGTAATTTTGAAACTTCTTTCTTGGCAGAAATAAGAGAGCTGATGTTAAAAAAATAGCATATCGATGTCTGACAGACAACTTGAATCCGGTAATCTTGAATTATATCAGAAAAAAGAGGTTCCATCAAATATTTCTTGAGGAAATGCCCTGGAAAGCTCAGATGAACCTGTATCTGGCAATCGCAAACTTCCACCTATTTTTACAAAAACTAGGAGAGCGTATGAAGATGAAATTTAGCACTTCGCATATGATGGTCAGGTACAGTACATTACTGATAAGTAACACTTTTTACTTGGGTGGTATTAGTACGTTCCAAGCTCCAGTGTTGGTCACAACTAAACAGGAGTATGGCGTGCCTTCATCTTTGTACTGGCCATCGGTCTATTGCTTCATCTTTATTCAGAACTGGGATGTACAAGTCCAAGTCTGGTAGGGTGTACCACAGATGATCATTAATGTTAGAAGGTGAGTTACACACAAGCTATAGTGATGTACAATGATTGAAAGTATAAAATAAAATAATAAAAATAAATTAAAACAAAATGAAGGGAAAGTACATATAAAGTCTCCTTTCTTCCTGGAAGAAGGCTTTCCTCTGGCTGGCACTAATGGAAAAGGTTTCATGGGAGGTATCTCCAGGCCTGTGTTTTGAAGGATAGGCAAGGTTTAGAAATGTGCAGTTAGAGGGACCAGCAGTTGGCATAATGGCTATGTTGCTGGACTCCCATGTAGCTGACCACAGTTCGAGTCCTGGACCCAGTGGCTTAAACTCACACCCAAGATCCTGAGAGGAGAATGGAGGAGGAAGGATTGTAGCATGGCCATCCCCCTGGGGGTGATTTCTCATTTTCTGTCTCTCTCTTACTCTCTCTGTCTTTCTGGTGAGTGCACACGCCCTAGAGCAAAAACCTCTCTAAAAAAGAACTATGTAGTTAGAGAAACAAGCATTCTCTGTAATTGGGAGAACACGAGTCAGAGTTCAGGTAGGAAACACAGAACAAGAACCTCAAATGGTCTGAATAGAACCTAGGGCCTATGAAAGGGAGTGGTGTAAAAATAATTAGAAAAGAAAGCCAGTACTAGATCATTGAACATCTTAAAAGTCTATTAAGTTTTAGCTTTTTTTATATGTGGTGGGAGTTTATTGAGGATTTTTGAACAGACAATAAGAAATTTCTTTGACAGCAACATATCAAATGTATTGAAAGGAGGCAAGAGTGGAGACTGGAATATGAATGAAAAGTGTGTGTATTTTAGTAATTCAGTGAGAGAAAAATGCAGCTTGAACTCTACAATGTTCCTGGTTCCAGTTTCTGTTTCTCAGAATATTGATTAAAATAACTACCAGAGGGGCCGGCAGGTGGCGTGGTGATTAAGAGTGCTGGATTCCCACATGACTGACTGAGGTTCGAGTCCTGGACCTGGAGGCTTGCTTTCTCACTTTCCCTTTCTCTCTCTCTCTCTGTCTCTCTCTGGTAAAAATTTAAAAATGGTAACAATAACAAATGGAATTAAATGAATAAATAAATATTAAATAAAAAACAAAACAAAACAAAACTTCCAGACTGGGGACCAGTGGGTTGTGTGGTGGTGGTTAGAGTGCTGGACTCGCACATGGTTGACTGTGGTTTGAGTCCTGGATTCCGTGGCTTGGAAATCATGCTGGGAATGCGTGTAAGAGTGAGGGGAGAGTGGCGGAAAGAGGACTGCGACACGGCCATTCCCCCGGGAGTGGTTTGTCACTTTCCCTCTGTGTGTGTGTGTGTGTGTGTGTGTGTGTGTGTCTACAGCGAGTGCATATGCCCTACAGGAAAAACTTAAAAATGAATAAATAAATAAATAAATAGAAAACTACCAGATGAACCTTCATAAAAATGTCTCCAAATAAAGATCCCTTTCCTTTGCATGCAATGCCAGATATGCATTTGAGAAGCAGTTTCCTTGTCTGACTGTTAGAGAAGGTTTTTGGCAAAGTGACCCATTCATGGTTCAGACCAAATGGACTTCCTGCTGTTCCCTGAACACTGAGAAGTCATCTCCAAGCTTCCAGTCATACGTGACCTTCACGCATGGTCACTTGGCAACACGTCAAGACAATGATTAAATTTGTGTCCCAGTAACTCAGTGCTAAGTTGGTTTTATTAAGCTATTAATGTATACTCAGTATCTATTTATTTTTGATGGAAGATTGCTTACTGCAAAAGCTTATTTTTAAATAGAAATAACATTGATTATGGGCATAGTGCTCTACATAGCAGGCACCTTCATTCAGTTGGGTTTAAACCAGGTGGTTTTAAGTTGATATAAACTGTTGTTTCAAAGCTCAGAGAGTAAGCATAGTTCTTTCATTTTCATTTGCCCTTGTAGGGTTTTGATGTTAAAATTTCTCAAAGCAAAGCTACATTGTATAATTTCAAAAGTTAATGAGAAAATATTTAATTAAGTGCCAAAATACTTTATGATCCAAAGTTTGGGAGCATTTACTCACAAATGTGTAAAAATAAAATAGATCGTGTTTGACAGAAATAATTCAGTTTTGCTTATATTGTTCTTTAATGTGAATTTTCTCCCTTTACAGTTTCCGATCATGTAATCCTAATATATTCTCACTGTATAACTCAGGAACAGTACTACCAACTGGAAAGTTGATTGTAGAAAATTACAAAGCAATGCTTGATTTCATCGTTTCAGCAAAAAAAAGGAAGGCTAACTTATCAGGTAAAATAAATTTCTTAATTTACTATCAAATTGCCCCTACATGTGAATTTACCAATACAGCACACTAACACACACCCAGTGGACACACATATGTTCACCATTTTTTCCAACGACCTAGCAATTTAGTCTACTGAGCTTGTCAGAAAAGTCATGACACATTTTTGCATAGGAAAACAGAAAAAATACATCATGACTTTTCTGGCAACCCAATAGCTTTGATATTTTGTACGAGATTTTATTTGTTCTATTTTTTAAAATATCTGTATTTTATGGTATCATCATATATATTTGGAAGTATCTATTTTGTGTCCCTCCCTAAATCAATTTGGCTGATTAACAAGTATAACTTTCTGTTGTGAAATGGTGGTTCAGGGTAGGTGGAGACTTGCTTATCAGGTTTGATATTGTAATGGAGGTAGATTTCAGAGCAAATTCCATCACACATCCTGATACATGCAGGCATGAAAACCATCACAATAACTGATTTTATACCCAAGGCAAGTTAATTTTTGCCCTAGAATCTCCAACTAGTACCTTTCATGAAAGCTCACTCCAAGGCGAATGTGTTATTCTGATGGCAGGACCAAGAAGCAAGGTCCAGTAGTCAAGGCTCAGGGATGTGGAGATGTGCAGGCAAATGTGGCTCTCCACCTGGGGGCAGCACTGACTACTTGTCTACCAAACCCAACTAGTTTCTTTTCTTTTCGTATGTTTTTAAGGTCTTTGCCATTAGGGTGTATGCACTTGCTGGAAAGAGACAGGGATACAGAGAGAGAAAGCAGGAAACTGCCCCCCCCCCCCCCCGCGGGGGGGGGGGCCATGCCCAAATCCCTTTTCCTCCATTCTCCTCCTGGGATTTTGAGCATGCACATACATTCACCATGTGTGATTTCTTTCTTTCTTTCTTTCTTTCTTTCTTTCTTTCTTTCTTTCTTTCTTTCTTTCTTTCTTTCTTTCTTTCTTTCTTTCTTTCTTTTCTTTTTCTTTCTTGCTTTCTTTCTTTCTTTCTTTCTTTCTTTCTTTCTTTTTTCTTTTCTTTTCTTTTCTTTTCTTCTTCTTCTTTTTTTTTTAAGAATTGCTTTATTTCACTTTATTTATTCTATTTATTTATTTTAATTTGACCAGAGAGGAACAGAGTGAGAGAGAGATAGGAAGCAAGAAAGCAAGCTGCCAGGTCCAGGACTTGAATCTTGGTCAGCCATGTGGGAGTCCAGTACTCTTAACTACCACGTCACCTGCTGGGCCCCTGGTGTGATTTTCAAGCTGCTGATTCTAGGATTCAAACCATGGTTGGCCATATGGGAGTCCAACACTTTAACCCCCATGCCACTTGCTGGCCCCAACCTCATAGTTTTTATACCCTTTTCTGCAAAGATGATGGAGCCTAGGCACTATTCCTTGCAAATAATCTATCTTGATTACCACTCAGTTCACAAATATAATTTTATTTCTATTTTTTTATGCTATTACATACTCACATACCATAGTTTTTTGTTTTTTTTAAAAGAATGATTTAATTTAACTTTATTTTAATTTGGCCAGAGAGGGAGGGAGGGAGAGGAAAGGGGAGAGAAGGAGGGATGGAGGGAGAGAGGGAGGGAATCAAGGGGAAAAAGAAACAAAAAAAATTAAGGGACACAAATGGATAATTATTTGTTGATGATAACGTGTATGATAATACCTTTAACTTGACTAATACACATGCATTTACGCTAGAAAAATTCATTTGAGAAGTTGTAATGATATACAATGGTTAAGTGTGTAAAAAATAAACCAAAACCAGAGTAAACTTTAAAAAATAATAATAGCAGGAATAAAAAAGAACAACAGAAAGCCCTGGAACTGTACACTGGCACAGCAGTAACACAATGATCTGAGGGGCTGAGTCACACTGGAAGGTTTTAGGTTTATGCCCAGAGATCCCCTGAACACGCTGGGTGCACACGGTGTCTGCGATCCAGGGCCAGCTGAGCGGGCAGGATGAACGTGTGGGGACCATGTGTAGGGGCCTATTCCTTCTTTGTCTCTCTTTCTTGCTCATGGAGGAAATAAAGATTATTTTTTTAAAATTCTACCATACCCTTCAATATAGAATACATTAAAAGAAACCAAATCATAAAATAAGTCAATTGAAAAATAACAAATGAACATTAGAAAAATTAATGAATAATGCAACAAGCCAATTGCAAAAGACACATAATCACATGATTCTTCTAGATGATGTACCCAGAGTAGTCAATAGCACTGAGAAAGTTGAAGGATAGTTGCCAGTAGCTAAGGGTAGGAGGGAAGAGACTGTTTTATAGTAGGCTTAGAGTTTCACTTTGGCAAGATGAAGAGAGATCTGGAGACCAGCAGGACGACGAAATGAATGTATTTAATACAACTAAGGTGCGTACAGTTAAAAATGGCTAAGATAATGTGTTATGTGCTTCATGTGTTATGGTTTAACATAAATACTATTTATTTAAAAGTAAGTTAAGAAAATCTCCCCAACAATCCTCATGAAAATTTCGAGAGCCCT